AGAGAGAGAGAGAGAGAGAGATAGAAGAAATAATTACTTTTTTGATCTTCAGTCCTAACGATTTTTAATCCTAAGAACTTTCGAGCTATAAATTAGACTACTTGAGAGGGTGCGAAATGTGCTATCGGGTAGATTTGCAAATACATAGAGGGGTGAACATGAATAATACCCACGAACTTTCCGTGGTGGTGGTGGTGGTGGTGGTGGTGGCAGGCGCAAAAATAGAAATTTTCAGATAAGGCATCCCGCGACCCTTGAAAGTTCGTCAGTGTCACGCGTTTTCAAGCCGCGATATGAGAGAGGGATGAGAGCGAGGCCACGAGAGAGTGAGGAGCCTGGCTGGAAATAGCGGCGGCAACAGGGAGAGCCTGGAATTTCGCAAAATTTAAGCCTGCCGACATCCATCACTGCGCGCGACAGTCCTCCCGTCGCTTCAACGTCAGCCCACGTCGCTCTTTTTGGGTCTGCCAGAGCGCACGAGTCGGTACATGCATGCATATGTGAAGCCGCAATAGCTGTAACACGACGTAAAATCCGCCGCTCTTCGCGCGGCCGGAAAATCGCGGCGCGAAGTAACGGCAACAGTCGTCGTTCGATCTTAACCAATACGCGTCTAGCGATACGTCGTTAGCTGTGTTTCAAAATTTTCACCGCCAAAAGCCTCAGCACCAGTACTGAAAATCTACAATTCACGTAACGTACTATACATTATCAGCACTGACGGTTTTGAAACAAAGCCATTATCTCTTCGGGTTTATATCCCGCATTCAAATTTCATATTATTTGTATTTTGAAATTATTATCTTTTGGCCTTTACTTCTTATCTACTTCCAGGATATACCGATTTTTTTCTTCCATTTCTGTTATCATCTTATTAATCTAATATTTTCGAATAGAGGAGAAAAATTATCTTCACTGTTTTATATAATCTTTACTGTTTTATATAATTGCAAAAAGGATATGAATAGAGTATTATGCTGCACAAAGTTTCGCAGAGAAAAAGATATATGCCTCTCGCCATAAAGTCTATTACGTTCCTTTACAAATCTAGACTCTGCGGCCAGGTCGATTGCAACTGACAGCCAAATTACAAAAGCGCGTTATTACATTTTATCCTGGCTTTCAACCTGATATCCCGCACCGTCGGATTATACCGACGTAAATAATGGAAAATTGCAACACTCGCGGAAAAAAATGTATTTTGCCACATGCCAGGGCCACACTAAAACTCGAACTAAAATGGAGTACTCAGGTACACTGTCTAAATGTAAATTTTTTTATTTTTTTTAAAGTTTTTGCCTTTACCACCATTTATGTATCTCGCGTATTAGACCTTTCAACTATATTCGAGATGAGATCTGAGATCATTACGTTGTAAAATTCATCGAAAAATTTAAGTTCGATTAATTTTCTTCCTCTCGTTTCCAGCGAGAGAAACAATTTCGTTTTAAATCAAAGACTTGAGCTAAAAAACGAGGAGAAAACAACAAAACGAATACGAGCCATTTGTAGCACGCAAAAGTAATGCGCACGTGGCATGCGTCGTGCATCAAATACGTATTTGCTCTATTGTTTTCGAGAACTTTATCAATTTTATTAACCAAACTTTCGACGTCAGAATCACGGCAACTAACCTAACTAAATTCAAAATTTACTAGTATATATCCGAATAATTTATCTTTCAATGTCCTACTCACCGACATATGAAATTCCATTTACGACATCCACGTAAGAAAGAATAATTTTATTGTATAACGCAATAATAATGCAACAACGTACAATAGCGAATAACAATCGCTACTTAACTTAGCGTAAATAACAATTACTACTTACTTCCCATTTAAGCATAAGTCTACCTCTACACGCGATTTCGCAATTTTGCATCCCTGTTACTGATTCACTATTCAGAGTCATTATTCATTCGCGCTATTTCCGGTCTGTAATACAGATTTTGCAAATAATTATCGCTGTGATCGTCCAGTCGTCTGATTATCGCGCAACATTTCGAGATTATATATAACGTATTAATATCGTAATTCGCCCGCTTGCTCATTTTGTAGCCACCATGCCGAGCAACTCATTCGACCGGAAGTCTCCAAGCTATTAGCGGATCCGCCGCAAGGTGGAAACAAAAATCGCAATTGCGAGAATAGCCAACTTTTGTATTCCGATACAACGTATAACGTCCGCGATTTTATATCGCAAGAAGACAACGAGTTAGTGGATAAAAGTTATGGAGACGGTTCTCCGAATGAAATATGCGCCTTTAAATTGGATCAAGAGAAGATTGATGAGCTTGCGAACGATTATCGCGTTGAAACGTGTGTATCTTCCAGCCGCGAAAGCGCGATACAAAAGGAATCTTATAAGGAAACGGTCAAGAGTGATGGTACTCGTTCAAGAAACGAAGATGAATCTCGATGCAAATCGAATCGTAGGAGAAAAACACGTCGCAAGATACCCAAAGGAGTTATCATAGAGCTTAGCAATGATGTTTACGATACTTCTTGTGACGGTATTAAAATCGGCGTTATTTCGATGCATAATCTAAAACCTGAAATGAAATTTATTACAGTACCAAAAAAGTATGAAATTCTTCCTTTTTCTTCCTTTAAACAAAGATAAATATTTTTTACAATATTTTTTACAATATGTATAAGATAAATATCTTATACATATGTATCTTTGGTTTTACAACAAAGATAAATATCTTTGAAATTTTGTAAATTCTTTAAAAAGAAAAATAAAATTTAAATATACAATTTCTTTTTAGGAAATCTAATCATCTAATATGGAATTCCAATCCAAGAAAGAAGACGAATAAAATGAATAAAATGATTGACGATTCTATACTGGCTATATTTTATATCGAAAATCGCAACAAATTGAAGAAGACTCGAAGATCGACGAAAGCAAAAAGAACTGGTACAAATTATCGTATAAAATCAATAAATAACATGTTGCACAAGGATGTCGATATGACGACCGTTAAACCGAGGAAATTAGAAAATACGTTAAACGAGCGACGAGAGTTGCATGCAGAAAATGATACGCAGTCGCATTGTATGTCCAACGATATTCTTCAGTCAACGCAATGCTGTCATCATGATGACACACTGCTTGATATTGATAACGTGCGATATCCGATATTGAACACAGCGCAAACATATGTCAACGCGAGGAAACGTACCGCGAGCTACTGTTGCTCGATTTTTAACGACACCGAGCATCAAGAATATCACATTTGCGATCGGGAGGATTACAACGCAGATTCCGATTTCAATGCGGAGATGCGGGCCGATTGGACGGCCGAATGCTTTCATCCCGAATACACGCATGCGAGGGGACGTCGACGGTGTTTCTGTGACTCGGGCGAGTGCGATCCCGATATAAATATGCAGCACGACCATTGCCCCCCGATGTCGCGAACGGCAAGACTATTCGAGGATTCCGCTCTTTCGAGGAAGCGTCAAAGGAAAGAGGTAGGATCGGACGAACTCCGGACGGATATCGCGCCTGAATTCGCAACGAAAGTCGATGAATATTCTTCAGACGGAGTCGGGCGGTGTACGAATTGCACGAACGAGGAAAGAGAAAGTACGGCGATCCGGAAACGCGCGTCTTCCGAGCCCGGCGGAAGCTTCACCGATTTTTACCATTCGCGCTTCGCAGATGCGTCGCGACGCGAAATTGATACGCGTCCTGAAAGGCGCGCGTGGACGAAGACGACGACGTCGACGGAGAGGGATGACGATCGGTCGTATAAATCAGATTCGTTGAAAGCCGCCGACACGTGGGATGCACACGCGGGAAGAAACAACAACTGTCTCGAACGGCCTTACGTAGGCCGCGCTGTCGCGGAACCGTCGCGTTCCGACCAATCCTCTCCCGAGGAAAAAGGTGGATTCGCCTGCGGAGTGGATTTGAAGTGGAAACGGGGCTCCATTGAAACTGACGCCCAACAATTGGATTACAAAATGGAAGAGAAGAATCGCGACCGTAGACGCTGATACACGCACGAATGTGAATTTCAAAGGAAAACGTGATTCCAGGTGAGAGTCGATTTG